AAACTGACCTTTTCCAGTCCTGTGGCCACTGCTGAGTTTTCCAAATTTGCTGGCATTTTGAGTGCAGCACTTTCACAGCATCATCTTTCAGGATTTGAAATGGCTCAACTGGAATTCCATCACCTCCACTAGCTTTGTTTGTAGTGATGCTTTCTAAGGCCCACTTGACTTCATATTCTAGGATGTCTGGCTCTAAGTGAGTGATCACACCATCGTGATTATCTGGGTCATGAAGATCTTTTTCGCACAGTTCTTCTGTGTATTCTTACCACCTCTTCTTAATATCTTCTGCTTCTGTTAGGTCCATACCATTTCTGTCCTTTATTGCACCCTTTTTGCATGAAATGTTCCCTTGGTATCTCTAATTTTCTTGAGGAGATCTCTAGTCTCTCCCATTCTGCTGTTTTCCTCTATTTCTTTGCATTGATCACTGAGGAAGGCTTTCTTATCTCTCCTTGCTGTTCTTTGAAAGTCTGCTTTCAAATGGGTACATCGTTCCTTTTCTCCTTTGCCTTTTGCTTCTCTTCTTTTCACAGCTATTTGTAAGGCCTCCTCAGGCAACAGTTTTGCCTTTTTGCATTTCCTTTTCTTGGGGATGGCCTTGATCACTGCCTCCTGGAGGCGTTAGTGCAGGCTTAGTCTAATTCTCTGATGGTTATCAGACTGGAGCTGTGGCTGTGGATGTGACTGAAGACTTAGAGATGCTTCCTGAAAGTGACTGAAACAAGGAGTCAGAAGCCTGAGGCTAGGTGGCAGCTTTAAGTTCATTCATTCCGGTGTTCTATCTGATGGTTCAGTCTCCTCTGCATACCCTTTGAATCCTTGCTTGACCTCACCTTGTAATGAGGCACTCCTGGCCTCACTATGATATTGTAGCTTGCTCCACAGTTCCTTTCCTCTCTCAAGCTGCTCCTGCTGTCGATTGATGTTTAGACAACAAGAATGTCCACATCTCACACACACACACACCCCAGAAGATTTCTTGTTTTTACTTTCCAGAAAGAACCAAGAATAATATGCACAGGATCACTGCATCTTATGTCCCCCCATAAAGAAACCTAGGTTTATTGTGAGCTGGTAGCTGTGAGAGATTACTTTCTCCAAAGGAGATCAGAATAATTGTGCTATAGTTTTGTAGGTATCTTATTTCAGGAGAGATGCCCCACTTCTATCCGTGGGTATTTATTTTATGTATTTACAGGTTATACTTGGTGTGTTAAGTAATTACTTTTGAGCAGCTGCTACCTGCAGTGTCCTGTGCTAAGGGCCAGGGCAGACAGAGACTTTGGTGCCTTATTACAGCAGTCAGTCACAGGTTGCTTTGTTACCCACCTGGCCCCACTTCTATCCGTGGGTATTTATTTTATGTATTTACAGGTTATACTTGGTGTGTTAAGTAATTACTTTTGAGCATCTGCTACCTGCAGTGTCCTGTGCTAAGGGTCAGGGCAGACAGAGGCTTTGGTGCTTTATTACAGCAGTCAGTCACAGGTTGCTTTGTTACCCACCTGGATTCTTAGACTTTAATGAATAGAAATTAAAAAGAGGCCAGATGAGAAATTCAGGCAGGGTGTTGTTGCGACTCCTGCTGCAACATGATGGAAGGAAAACAAGTAACAGGTTCGCTTGCTTGCTCCCAGGAGGGGCCAGCTGGTCCCTTCAGTGGAGTGAGGGTTGGGGTGGATCCGTGGTTGGGGCTGGAGGAGTGGCTTGGGTGGTCTGCCAGCCCCCCGTGATGCTCTGTGCAGGGGGTCATGCACAGGACCCTCCTTTTGCTCCAGGCACCTCAGAAGGGGCAGTTGGGTTTTGGCCTTTTTGTATCTTTTTCATAATCTGTCCCAACTGGCCATGCACGCGTTTCTTTTTAATCCATTATAGCGTCTTTGTATTCTGTGCTTGAGGAGACGTTTGTCCAGGTGCAAGCACCGTAGTAAAGGGTCCCAGGTGCCAGCCTGTCTCCGATTCACCGACAGCTATTTGTTGAGAATCTGCTTCGAGGCTGCCTCGGGCTCTTGCCCTTATGGAGTTTGCCATCCTCCCAGGGAGGCAGTGTTTGATGTCGATCACAGCGTATTGAATCATTGTTGACTTTGCCACCTCTTCACGAGGCTCCGCTCTCCTTGAAGCGAGGTCACGTGCCATGCATTACTAAATTTCCACCACCTGGCATGCTGTAGGCAGAAGGTAAATATTTGTTAAATGAGTCAGTGGCTGGATACACGAAGGGAAAAACACGCACTTTGGCATCTGGTGCTTTAAGCTAGGTCTCGACTCAGCAGTTTGCCAGCTAGGTGGCTGGGGATAAGGACAGGCAGTTTTATAAAATAGGCACCTCTTTTGCAGCGTGGTTGTGAAGATTAAAAGAGGGAATGCACAGAGTGCTTCTTATGCCTGCATGCTGAGTCACTTCAGTCATGTCCAACTCTTTGCAGCTCCATGGACTGTAGCCTGCCGGGCTCCTCTGTCCATGTGATTCTCCAGGCAAGAGTACTAGAGGGGGTTGCCATTTCCTCTTATGTCCCTTTTTAATTTGACTTCTCCTGCCAAGTTATTGGGAATGGGGCTTCCATTAAAACAACTCTAAAAGTTGGAGGGAAGGAGAATACTCTTTATTGAGTACTCTTGATGCATCAGGCACTGTGCTCAGTCCTTTATCTGTTCTATCACTTAATTCTCATTACCTCCCTATGAGTAAGTGTTAGTTGCTCAGTCGTGTCTGACTCTTTGTGACCCCATGGACTGTAGCCTGCCAGACTCCTCTGTCCATAGGATTCTCCAGGCAAGAATACTGGAGTGGGTTTCCATTCCCTTCTCCATCCCTATGAGTAAAGGACCTCCATTTTCCCCACTGGGGAAGCTGGAGGCTGGAGCATTAACATAACTTTCCAGAGCCTGGCTGACTCGAAGACCCAAGCAGGTAGATGGCATCTGCAGAGCTAAAGGGAGCAAGGCAGGTGGGCTTACTCGGGGTGGGGCAGCCACGTTGGGAGAAACTGAAGTCAGGTGGAGGTGGAACGGGGGCAGTTACTTCAAATCATTGGCCATTTTCAATTAGTAATCATGAGAGCCCGTGATTTTAGTGGGAGGAGCAAGTGACGCGAGGCTTTTAGGGCTCGGTTTGACTCCTAGTTTCATCCTCTCCTAGCTGTGAGCTTTGCACTAGCTACTTAGCCTCTGAACTGTAGTTCCTTCCCCAGAAGTAGAGACGCCAGTACCTACCTCCCTGGCAACCACGTGTGTCTGTGAGTAGTGAACACAGTAGTTGCCACATTCTAGATTAAATGATAATTCCTATGATTATTATTAGGTTTTTCATTATTCCTTCGGGGGCTTCTTCTTCTCCCCCACCTCTGTTCTGCAGGTCTCTGGGATTCCTTCCATGTCTATTTCATCCTCTCTTTCCTGCAGCAGTCTGTTGCTTTCTGTAACTGGTATAATTGAAAAGACGAAATCTTTGTTTTAATCCACGTACACTACTACCTCCCATACTGCAGTTCTGGCAAATTTACAATCACTGTCCATCATGTCAAGATTTTGCTTCCATGGCTGAGCAACGTAGCCTTGGTTTTGTTTGAGAGGCGGGAGCATTTTTTTGTTGTTGTTGTTAAATCCATGTTAAATAAGATTATAGGAATTAATCTCATCCAGGTCAGTATAAAATCAGCTGAAACAAATCAGCTCTCCCTGCAGGTATATCTCCCTCTAGAGCTCTGTTCAGAGTCTTATGAGTAAATGGAATTTAGGTATCTTGACTTTGATTTTCTCTGAATTATAGAAATATTTCAGGTGAGTTGCATAGTAACTGGAGTACCTCATATTTTGGCTTTGTTTCTCTCTTCCCACCTACCCCGTGTCTTTAATCTATAAACATGCTGAAAAACATGTTGTCATTTAAAGGTATCCCACAAGAAGTTATATTTAGTATCAACAGTCACCTGTTATATGTCAGGGGGGTGAGCTGACATGTTCCAGGGTCAGGACTAGGGTAGGCCCAGATGCTAGGGACAGTCAGGGCCTGCAAAGTTGGACCCCTCTCTAGGGTGAGTTTTTGTGTCCGCTGCTCTTTCTGTAGGGACAGACCGACTCAGGCTTTACCCAGTCTAGTGGATGGGACATCACCACCACCATCAGGTGTTAGGAGTAGCGCTTACTTCCTGGTGGGCAGAAGCCTGTGACTCAGGCCACCGGTCTTTTTACTCATAGCTGGACCCAGAGGTAAGAGGACACCAGCTAAGTGGTTGGAGGTTTAGGGGGAGCAAGCATGCTCATTAGGGAAACCAAGGCAGTGATGGACTAAGTCTGGTGGTGTCGGGGAAGGCTGTGACTGAAGGGGTCCCCGGGCCTGCTGGATGCCGGTGTGAGATCCAAGCACAGTGGCCGGGATGGACACGCGTTCTCCCTTTCCTGCTGGAGCAGACCCGGATTGGGCCGGGTGGTGCTGTCCCATGAAGCAGCTCCAGGGACTCGGGCTGGGTGGAGGTGGAGGCCTAGAGTTGACCATTCTCCACCCCTGTCCTTCCCTTTGGCCAGGGTGGTTTGCTGTTTTTAAACCATAACTTCATTAATTTTTGAGTAAATGAGCATCTGAGACAGCTAATATTATGAAAGGACTACCCCCCCCCCTTTTTTTTTTGGAAAAGTGGTGAAATCTCTTGGACTCGAAGAGGAGGAGGTTAGCCTTGCTGAGATAGTTTTGCTATGGTAGAGCAGTGAGCGACTCAGCATTAGAATCACCTGTCAGGCTCATTAAATCTGATTGCTGGGCCTCATCCCCAGAACTTCATAGTTGGTGTGTGCGGGTGGGTTGAGAATTTGCCTTTCCAGCAAGTTCCCAGGGCCTGCGGCCATGGCTGCCCCAGAGGACATAGCCTGGGAATCACTATCATGAAGTAACCCGTGTGTTCCGCATGCTGCAGATGTAAATGATGGCTATTTGGTTAACTCCACCACAGCTGTGACTATCTCCTGTTGATATGCTTCTCTCTGTCTTCCTTCCACAGGCATTTTGATGTTGGACTACATGATTTCTTGGTTAGGTAAGCCAATTATTTTTATTTTATATATCATTGGCATAGCCTGTCTATTATGGAATACTGAGATGAAAATAAAATCCTTGTTAAATATCTTGATGAATAATGGCAACTGTATAGTTGTTACGAAAACACTGCCAGCACTGTTTTTTTTTTCTGTGTGTGCCCCCCAGAGTCACACAAGAATAGCCAGCCTCTTTAAACAATCAAAGGAATTTATTTTTAAAGGGGTTTATATCTGAAATGGTAGTTACCTAACTATTGGGCTGCTACAAAGACAAATAGAAAAGTGAAGTGAGCCATCCTGCATTCATACACTAAACAACCATCTTGACCAGTCTTCCCTGCACTGAATTTAAGCTTTTTAAACAGAATATACTGGTTGTTTTGGGCTTCCCAGGTGGCTCAGTGGTAAAGAATTCACCCACCAATGCAGGAGATGTGGATTCTGTCCCTGGGTCAGGAAGATCTCCTGGAGGAGGAAAATGGCAACTCACTTTAGTATTTGTGCTTGGAAAATTCCATGGACAGAGGGGCCTGGCGGGCCACAGTCCATGGGGTTGCCAAAGAGTAGGATGTGACTAAACAGCAACTGGTTCTTCTACAGTCGTTCAGACACCAACTTTGTTCATAATTCAAGGAAATTACAGATAGCAGTTTATATCCTCGTATATTGGTGACTTGTTAACCGAGTTGGCTTACAGGGTGTATTAATTCCAAATAGTTATTAAACAGAGGTTAAGTGGAAACATACTAGAATATTAACAGAGTTGCTAAGAATATGCATCATATTTTTCCTGCTATAAACTTTGTTGTACTTGCTAGATTTTCATTATACTGAGCATGTATTTATTATTCTAATATGAATTCTGTATCTAAACCTGTCAGAGAAGCTGTCTGAATGAACTTCAGGGAGTAGTTTGGATTTTTTGAGTCAGTGTCTTTGGTACTTTGTGTTACTCCCATACTACTATTCACATGAGTGCTGTGGTGACTGCAAGTTTGTACTTGGTAACTTTCTTGAGGGCTGGGAACACATCTTAATCCCTTTTTCATAATTCAGTTATATAGAGAACCAAGCCTTCAACAGAAATTTGTGTAGGCGTGACTGAAGGAGTAAATGCATGAAATGAGGCATAAAGGACATGCAGGGGTGAGGAATAAGAAGAATCTGTTTATTTAACAAGTAATTATTAAGCCTACCATGTGCCACTTGGTTATTTCTGGGAATACCATGGTGAGGAAGAGAGACATTTGATTTAAAGCTTTTCCTCAGCTCATTGCTTGCCAGCCTTGTGGTTTGAGCAACCTGAAGTGAGGAGGATGGGTGGTCCGCCTCTGGGACCCCTTCTCTCTGTCCTTTTTCTAGGTGCCAACCATGTCTCCTGTGGTAGGGGAGAAGGCTGAGGGGGTGGTTAAGTGACTCTAATGTAATTGGTGTTGGGATCCCCTGACTTTGGCAGAAGGCCCTTTTGTGTGAGTACTATAGTAAGATGCTCAATGAGTCACCTTAATCCATTCTGTGAACCAAGCAGAACTGGGGCTTCTTTCCACCCTGCCGTCTTCCCGAAGTTTTTCTTTCCTTTACTCTGGTCGGGGCAGAACAAACCAACACGCCGGTGGTTATCCATTTGGGGAGTAAGTCAGTCTCTCCTTCTGGCAGGCATGCCCAGCCTCTGGATGAAGTCTCTTCATCGCCTCAGCCACCTCCCAGCACATGTCAGCCCTCCCCACTAAGCCAAGAGCCTAAGGACTCTCAATCTCTTCCTGTCTTGCTGTGTCTCACTGTTCACTGAACCCAGGGTGGCTAGGCTCCAGCCGGGAAGCCGGAAGAAAACTCGAGGAGTCGTAGGAACTGCAGACATGTTTGTTCTCTGACGGTGGGTACGGCAGCAAAAGGGCCTTCTCAGGTGGAGCTTATACACGTTTACAGAGCGAAAGGGGCCCGTGGCCGAGCGGGTACATCGTGAGGCACATGCGCGGTGCTCTAAGTGGTCTCAGTCGTCACGTGGCCCTGTATTTACAAAACATGGAGTGAGTGGCCGTGGGGCGAGACAGCCTGACCACCGCCGTCTTGGCTCATTTGCTGTTTCCCTGCACTTCCTCTGGCCTCCTCCCAGCTTGGGGATGGGGTCGGGCAGGGTGGGGGTGGGGGAGCTGGTTGAGGGGAGTAGTCAGTTCTCCATCTAGGGATTCCAAGATGCTATGTGTGGGGGGGGTGTTACCCCTTTATTTACAGCTGTCTTTAGAAAGTGGATCCTTTCTACTCCCATGTTGCAGGTGGTGGGGGTGGGGTGCAGAACGCAGGCCTGGTGGGGACTTAGCCTTGGGCCCTTTAGTGAAAGCTGTTTCATCAGCACATCAGTGTGGAAGAGATGAAAGAGAGGAAAGCAGGAGGTGAGGGAATGGCAGCCACAATTCTTTTTAAAGGTTAAGCTGTGATGGGGAGGACAGAAAGACCAGGCAGCTGGTGGAGAGGGTGGTTTGCAGGGGGATTTTGTTTTTCCTTTTTAATTGGAGGAACATTTAGCCAGCAGAAGGTCTTAAGTGCCATTTAGACTTAAGAAAGTGAGAAAGTGGTTTCAGTTGGGTGGAGAGAAGCAGCACATAATAGCCAGGGCAATGAGGAAGGGAAGCCCTGAACAGTGACTTAGTGACCTCAAAGGGCCTTGGCATATTAATGGAGAGATTGGTGTATCAATAGAAAGATCCTTAGAGGATTAGAAGAATGAAGCGGGGTGGGGTGGGGTGGTTAATACTCGAGGGATCCTTCTCAGTCTGTGATGACCAAGAGAAGAAAATATATTGCCATTTGTAAAAAGAGGACATGTTGGAGAAATTGGCATAGACTTTTTTTTTCCCAATTAACTGCAATTATTGACTCCAACTAACTCTTAACATGTACTCTGGGTTGTCAGGCTCTATTGAATGCTTAGTGTTTGGCAGGAAAGAAACTGCAGCATGCCTGAAATTAATCAGCTTCATCTTTTACGTTGATGGAAGCAATGTCAGCGTCTCTGGAATGACATCAATTTTCACAAAGCCAAGAGCCCTATCTGTGATCTCAACCTAGGCAGCTGCAGGGGAGGGGCATGTTTCTTTTTAAGTTGTTGGTGTGTTTCACTGGGCTGTGGGGCAGGAAGGAGCTGTCACAGTTAATGAAATGTGAGCATTTCTGGTGTTGGCGCTTTATGATGACTGTGGGAAAATTCTGTGCGCTCAATCCTTCTGCATCTTATAGAAACCAAAGGGAAGACTTCCTGGAAACAGTAGTCACAAATCACTGAAGAATATTCTCAGGAGAGCATTAGCTAGAGTTCTTAATGTGATGCTACCAAAGAAAAGGGAAAAAAGTTGGCCATTTTGGGAAAGGAACCCCGGAGGAAGGTTGTTTTTTGTTTTTAAATAGGTAACAGGATGACTTGTTTAAGTTTAGCTTAGTTAAATTTTGGCAAGAAAGTAGGACTGATTAGTGATGTTTGGTTTGATTCTTGCTGTTTCATTTTACCTGTAATTGTAGCCAGCCCCACCCCTTTTATGAAAGGTACACTGTAACTGCTTTATATCTACCCACCTGCCCCCTTCTAAGTTCCTCAGATCAGGGAATCATTTTAAGTGATACAAGATGCTCTCATGACTTTTAAAGGAAAATCTCAAAACATCCTTCTTACATATTGTCTGAAAGATGAAATTTGTCAGGGGTTTTGTTTTTTAAACAATTACTCCTATGATTGTGCATGTAAAAAGCAGAACAGTGTTCACCCATGTTTTATTCTTGCTTTTTGTATTATTTATATTTAGCTGTTTAATCCATTTTAATACATATTTCAAATAAGAGTCTAACTTAAATTCTGGGACTTCCCTGATGATCCAGTGGTTAAAATTTGGTGCTTTCACTGCTGTGGGCCCAGGTTCAATCCCTGGTTGGGGAACTAAGATCCCACAAGCTGTGAGATACGGGCAAAAAAAAAAAACAAAAAAAAAAAATCAAAATATGTTTTTTTTACTATCATTTTCCGTTTTTGTTCTAAAGTGCATGTGTGAGCACTTCAGGGCCACTACTTTTGTCCTTAGAATTTTTTTTTCACTAAGTATATTTTTATTGGAGTATAGTTGCTTTACAATTTTGTGTTAATTTCTTCTGCTTAGGAGACTGTTCTGATATCCTGTCAGGACCAGCAGAAATGCCAAGTGTGGCGGAGATGCCATGGGTACATTTTAGGCAAATAGAAAAAGGTAGTGGGCCTCAGGCATGGCCCTGAAGCTACTTGAGAAGCTCTCTGGAGCTGATACAGTGGAAGATAAATTGGAAGATAAATTCCTTTACATAAGCAAACAGATTCTGCGTAGAGATCTTTCAATGTAGTGCAGATTCAATCTTGTACAAGCGCTAATGTTTCTATGAAACAGCTTTGCTGTGCGCTTTTGAAATGGGATTTTTGTTCTGGTGAGAGAGAAGGTAGAATGGGCCAGCTGCTCACTTCTGTAGTGAGCTCACTCGCATCTGTAGTGTCCTTTGTTCTCCTGGAGGTTGATCCTGGGACCCCACCATGGTCGGGACTATCTTTGAATTGTCAGAGGGCAGCACACTTCAATGACGTGTCAATGAATGGGTCACCGAATTCTGAAATGAGCAAAACTGGTTTTGGTTTTCTCTTGGTGACAACCTGTACCCGACCCAGTCATGAAACCAGCCCCACAGCAGAACAGAAATGTTGTTTGGGCTGAAAACATTGGTGTTTTGAGCTTTTAGGGTAGTCTGTAACCTCCTTTATTTTGAGCACCCTGAAGTCCACCGCCACATTTGCTGTAGGTTAACAGTAGCAGTCACGGGGTTGATAAAGAAGTCTGCTCACCGTTATATGAAATTATGTTTTGGATTCTGTGATGCCCACCTTGCATTTTTAAGAAGCCTAGTAGTCAAATGACTAATCGGTTCAGTTCAGTTGCTCAGTTGTCCAACTCTTTGCAACCCCATGGTCTGTAGCACATCAGGTTCCCTGTCC